TCTGCCCGTGTTCTCACTGGAAGTTCATTCTCATTTTGCACATTTCGAGAGTGGTGTGGGGACTATCGAGTACCTGTTGTCTTTTTAACTCCACAGTCTGGCGCCGGCGCCCTCTCTGTCTCTCTCTCTCTCTCTCTCACACACAACGTTCCACCCAGCATGAATGAATCTTCCTCGTTATGGAGGAAGATTCATTCATGCTGGGTGGGACGTTGTGTGTGTGTGTGTGTGTAAGTGTGTGTGTGTGTGTGTGAGAGAGAGAGAGAGAGAGTCCCCACAATTCTGAAAAAGACAACAAGTTCTCGATGTATCTGCCCGTGTTCTCATGGGAAGTTCATTCTCATTTTGCACATTTCAAGAGTGGTGTGCGACTATGGAGTACTGGTTGTCTTTTACACTCCACAGTCTGGCGCCGAGTTTGGGGCGATGTTTTTTTTTTTTTTTTTCCATGGTGTACTACCGGTTGTTCGAGGCTCGGCAATGATCAGGCTACCGGTAGTCCAAGCCTTGGACTTGATAGTTGGACGATGTACTGGTGGCTTAAGATCGCGGGACGATCCTAGCCATCGGCCCGGTAGGACCACGGGCGGCCTGGAAGGTCGCGCCTGTTGAAAAGTTGGCGCGACGATCGGCCCTATCTTTGGCCGCACAGCGACGTGGTGCTTAGGGCCGCAGCGGATGTTCTATCTTTGGAGGCGCAGCAACGTGGTGTATAGGGAACTCGACAACACGCACTCAGGGCCCACCTGTCCGCCGGTCCGCACAAGCACATGCACAAAAACACATGCACATGCATGCACACACCCACACTCTCACGCACACACATGTACATGGCGAACTTGACAACACGCACTCATCGCCCCCCGCCCGCCCGCCCGTCTGAACAAGGACATACACGCACATGCATGCACACACCCGCAAGCAAGCAAATGCATTGTGGGCAGACTGTCGGGGTTCAACCTCCTGATGAGTTGGCGGAAGTCCAACGAAACAGTCTGGTGCAGTCATGCTTTTTGGGGGGGCTTCCCATGAACACATGAAGTGTGTGTGGGTGTGTGCTCGCGTGAGAGAGAGAGAGAGAGAGAGAGAGAGAGAGAGAGAGAGAGAGAGAGAGAGAGAGAGAGAGAGAGAGAGAGAGAGAGAGAGAGAGAG